CTAAATGTAATTCATTAATTTTATTTCTGGCGCTTCGACAGTCAATATCAAATACATTAACATGTTTTTTCTTGTGAACCTTTTTCCTATTCATCTTTTCTTCTACACAATTTCCATTATTATGATGACTGTCTTACTCGATGACTATTATTGTTGAGATTTATGATATCAAACCCTAAATCACTATTTTGACACTCATTATTTTCCATTCCTAAACCCATACCTCTAACTAAAGCCCTAACAACATCCTCAACTGAGCTAGCGAGAAAACCCACACCTGCCCTGGATAAGTGAACCCCATCCCTGGTATACATGTCATTTCGGCAGTAGAAGTAGCCCCAGTTGTCAATGAATAGTACTGCATTATCCTTACTGTGTCCAGCCAGCAATTTATCCCAATCGCTCTGGACAGCTATTCGTTTCCAATAACCCTTCTAGGCAAAATACCACATATAACAGGGCTCCCCTCCTTCCTCCTAATAATGTCTGTTGCTGCCCTATACCTTCTAACTAAATCCTCACTTCTATGCTTGCCTACATCATTGCCTCCAGCACTGAGGCAGATAGTAGGATTGATCCCATTACCATATATGATGTTGTCAAGCCGGCTAACAATATCCTCCATGTGATAAATGGTTTTGAAAACTGACGAATTGAAGATTAAGACACTTATGCAACATATGGGAATCTTTATTAAGGAAACGTTTCACCACACAGTGACTTCATTTGTCCAGTATAAAGGAGAGGAGTTTGAGCTAATCAGTCCCTCAGCCTGGAATCGATGTGTTAAGTCCATCGCTCTTGTACAAAGTACAACGTATGGCTGGACAAGTGGCTTATATGCAGTAGTCAGGTGAGTGGAAGCAGGAGGAGGTAGGATCACGGTGGAACCATCTACTAATGTAAGTAGGTCTTCGTCCAAAGGTTGGGCAAGTGTTTATCAAATCTGTCAGACACTGCAACATCATGGGATCTTGATACAAGGAATTCTTCAACACTTGTCCAACCTTTGGACAAAGACCTACTTACACTAGTGGAAGGTTCCACTGTGATCCTGCCTCCTCCTACTTCCACTCACCCGACTATAGTATATAATCGACTTCTCCAGCCATGTGCTGTACTTTCTACAAGTATGATGGACTGAACACATCGATTCCAGGCTGAGGGACTGATTACCTCAAACTTCTCTCCTTATGCATTTCTGCTTTGTATTGGACTGATGAACCCACTGTGTGGTGAAACGTTTCCTTAATAAAGATTCCTGTATGTTGCATAAGCGTTCTGATCTTCAGTATCCTCCATCTCAGCCACGGGAAAGCACACCCTCGGTCTACCACTCCTATCCTTCAGCCAGAAGGCCCTATAATAGAATCTTGTTTTATAAAATGTAGTTTTGGAAATAATATGAATATTTCTTTTGGTTTATATAAATTGGATTCATTTATAATTAATAAAATTTTGGAAGAATTTAAGGTACATTAGACAAATTTTTCGGTAGAATAGAAGCTGTTTCAAAGATCACTGACTACCTACCTACATTATCATAAAAAGTCAGGTGTTGTTGGGGGTGGCATCGAGGTGTAGTCTGGTCCTTATAATGCCTTCCTGTTAATCTTATATTTAAAAAGTTCCTTGATAATGTGACAAATTATGGAAACGCTTGGAATTTCTCTGTTTTTTCACAGTGGTTGTTCTGCATATTGTCATATTACCTGTTTACTGCGATCTTATTGCTGTATATTAATTATAATATATTATATATATATAATTATTATATATATATATTTATATTATATTATATATATATATATATATGTTGTGTGTGTGTGTGTGTGTGTGTGTGTGTGTGTGTGTGTGTGTGTGTGTGTGTGTGTGTGTGTGTGTGTGTTGTGTGTGTGTGTATGTCGTGCCGAATATGTAAAACTGGTCAATTAGCAAGAACTCATTTAAAATTAAGTCCTTTCTAAAATTTTCTCTTATACGTTTAAAGATATATATTTTTCATTAATGATAATGTTAAAAAATTTAATTTTGCACCAAAAAAATCTTAGAAAACTTACCTAACCTTATTATAACAAGAACAATTTATTTTAGCCTAACCTAACTAAATATATTTTAGATTTGTTTACAATAATTTAATACTAAACAAACACAGTGAAATATATTTTTATCGTTAGGTTCAGAATGATTTTGGCGAAATTATTGCATACACAAATTTTCATTCGTCTTATATGGCAAGATGAACGTTGCTATTTAAGCCAAGATCGCAAGTTCTGCTTATTCGGCACGACATATATATATATTATATATTATATATATATAATATATATATATATATATATATATATATAAATATATATATATTATAATATATATACATATATATATATATAATAATATATATATTATAATATATTAATATATATATATTATATATATATAATATTATTATAATATAATATATATCTAATATATATATATATACTATTATATATATCATATATATATATATATATTTAACACGAGGCAGGGTGACCCAAAAAGAAAGAAAATCCCCATCATTCAACACTCTCATCTCACCCATACATGATCACTGTCTTGGCAGAGGCGCTCAGATACAGCTGCTCAGAAGTTCCTCCAATCTGCCAATATCCCAAACCCCTCCCTTAAAGTGCAGGTATTGTACTTTCCATTTCCTGGACTCAAGTCTGGCTAACCGGCTTCCCTGAATCCTTTACAAAATATTACCCTGCTCACACTCCAACAGCTCGCCAAGTCCCAAAAACTATTCGTCTCCATTCACTCCTATCTAACATGCTCACACACAACTGCTGGAAGTCCAAGCCCCTCGCCCACAAAACCTCCTTTACCTCCTCCCTCCAACCTTTTCGAGGATGACCTCTACCCCGCCTTCCTTTCCCTTCTGATTTTTACGCTTTCCATGTCATTCTACTTTGATCCATTCTCTCTAAATGATCAAACACCTCAACAACCCCTCTTCAGCCCTCTGACAAATACTTTTAGTAACTTCACATCTCTTCCTAATTTTCACACTCCGAATTTTCTGCATAATATTTACACCAAACATTAGACATTAGACAGAACATCTCCACTGCCTCCAGCTGCCTCCTTGCTGAAGCATTTGCAACCCAAGCTTCACAAGAGTGTTGGTACTACTATACTTTCGTACATTCCCTTCTTTGCCTCCATGGATAACTTTTTTTTCTACACAGATACCTCAACGCACCACTCACCTTTTTTCCTTCATCAGTTCTATGGTTAACCTCATCCTTCATAAACCCCTCATATATACATATATATATATTTTATAAAATATATATATTTTATATATATATATATATATATTTTTATAAAATATATATATTTATATATATATATATTATATATATTATATATATATATATATATGTCGTGGCCGAATAGGCAGAACTTGCGATCTTGGTTAAATAGCAACGTTCATCTTGCCATATAGGACAAGTGAAAATTTGTGTATGCAATAAATTTGCCAAAATCATTCTGTAAACCCCAAAGAAAAGAATATATTTCACTGTGTTTGTTTAGTATTAAATTATTGGAAAAAAATCTAAAATATATTTAGTTGGGTTAGGCTAAAATAAGTTGTTCTTGTTATAATAAGGTTAGATAAGTTTTCTAAGATTCTTTTGGTGCAAAATTATAAATTTTTACATCAATATTAATGAAAAAAATATATCTTTAAACGCATAAGAGAAAATTTTAGAAAAGACTTTATTTTAAATGAGTTCTTGCTAATTGGCCAGTTTTTACATATTCGGCAAGACACACACACACACACACACACACACACACACACATATATATATATATATATATATATATATATATATATATATATATATATATATATATATATATATATATATATATATATATATATATGAGGTTGTTATTTTTGCTGATGGCCAGTAGGCCTGCTGCAGTGTTCCTTCTTTATGTTTTTAAGTTTCAAAGGATAGTGGACTAGTTTGGGAGGGTGTATAAAGAAAGAAAGTCGAAAGTGAACGTAGATAAGAGTAAACCGTGCCAAGAGCGGGGATAGAACCCAAGATCAGAAAGTTTTAAAACTCCCAACCGACGCCTTAGCCACTGGCCTGTGGCTAACGCATCGGTTTTATGACTCTCAGATCGTGGGTTCTATCTCCACCCGTGGTATGGTTTGTTTGCAATCGTGTCATTACGATTTCGTGAGTCATAGATAGGAGTGAGGTGATAAAGGTATCAAATGAGTTTATGGAGAAAATGACACCAGAATGGAGGGAGGGAGCATGGGATGTGAATGTTGCAGCAAGGAGAAGGCTGGAGGCATTGGAGATGTTGTGTCAGAGTACAATGTGTGGTGTAAATATTATGCAAAGAATTTATAGCTTGGAGATTAGAACGGGGTAAAGTGTTGCTGAATGTATTAAGAGGGAGTTTATATCTCTAGTGTAAGGAAGGTGGGGTAGAGGACTTTCTAGGAAAGGTTGGAGGGATGAGATAAAGAAAGTTTTTGTGTGTGACGGGGCGTAGACACTCAGCAAGCGTTTGTGAGCGTGTTAGGAGCGAATGAAGGCAAATGATTTCTATGGCTTGACGTACTGTTGGAGTGTGAGCAAGGTAACATTTGTGAAGGGATTCAGAGAAAGCAGTTACCTGGATTTGAGTCCTGGAGGTGTTCGTACAGTGCCTGCACCCTGAAGGAGAGGGGTGGGGATATTTGCACTCTTGAACTATAATACTGGCCAGCGTCTGGCAAGACAGTGATGGAGTGAGTGATGGCGAATATATTTCTTCTTTCTCGTATCACCCTACCTTGTTGGTGCTAAAAAATAAGAAAAAAAATGTGTAAAATACTGATGGCTGGATTAACCTGCATGATATTAAAATTTATGTTTAAATTATGGGATTTTGTTTTTATTTTTCTGATAAAAATTACTGATTAAAATACTGTTAATTTTCAGGTGTTTAAACATCCAATTATGATCATGGGTGCAGACGTGAACCACGCACCTGCTTCTGACACTGTTACTCCCTCACTAGCAGCAGTTGTGGCAACCAGAGACGTGTTTGCTTCCAAGTACTCTACAGAAGTACGCCACCAGACGAGTCGTAGGGACATTATAGTTGAACTCAAGGAAATGACACAGTAAGTTAATTTTTTAAACGTATAAGTAAATAGTTATATGGGCTTGCAAGTTGCTTATATCGACAGCCATGTAGGACAGGCAGTCAACAGACTAAAGCCAAGCTGTGAGTGTGACCCTCAAAATGGGTCATCGGTATGTGATAGGTTTTTTACAGCACTTAAGGGGCGGTTAGTAGTATACCATAGATTGAGCTGAATTTTAAAATGGACTGATGTACGATAACTTCTCTTGGTTTGTAATCTCAATGGCGAATATAAAAAGCGTAGATTTGTTTCACCTTTACTGACAATTAAAATACAGGAGCTTTTTTTTTTTTTTTTAAGAATATTGGTCATTTTCCAGGATAATTCGTATAGATGCTGTTCATCCCTCCTCCAACTCATGAAGTTTATTTTCATCCAGTGATGACTACATCATACTTACACTATGCAAAGTGGAACCAAGACAAAATAATATTTGTTCGGATTTTTAACCCGGGGGAGGGTTATCCCTCCCCGGATAACCCGAGAAAATTAGCTAGACATCGGGGACAGTCTGTCTTATTTCCACTTGGGTCCTTCAGTCATGTTCCCCAGAATGCCACCCACACCATTCAACTAACACCCAGGTACCTACTTACTGCTAGGTGAACGTGGACACAGGTGTAAGGAAACGTGGCCAACATAGCCACCCTTCCAGGGGACTACCACAGACAGTGTGTGTGTGTGTGTGTGTGGCGACAGCATTGCCAACCAAGCAAAAACTCTTGTTTGGCTTGTTAAACTCCCAGTAGAATCAAAATTATGTCCCAGTAGCATCTCTACTATTGTGGAATAAAATAGAGAAAGGAGTTGAAAGAATAATGTTAAGATTAAGAGGACATAGACTCGTGACCATTCATCTGGAAATAATTGATAAGAGAGAAAAAAAATAAAGTAAATAGGTAAAGAGCATGTGATATAGGGAGAGGAAGAGGGATTGAAATACTGACACTTTGGGTAACAGTTGCCAGTGATCTATGAGCGCCAAAACCTTCAGGTTGTAAATAAGGGTTGAGGTCTCGACCATTCGTCATAGGAGCTGCCTGACATCACCGGTTTCTCCATCATGCAAGCTATACCTTTGTGTCAGTCTAATCACATATTACTCGGTTAAATAATTTTCCAGTAGTTCCTTCATGTGTTAGTCCAAAATCACAGACCGGATATGTTTTAATAAGTGATCCACTGACCAGATTCGACTGGTTTCATCCAAGAAATAAGCGAACCTTTAACCGGTTTCAAACGGATTCGTTGGAAAATAAGGTATCCTCTGACCGGACTATAAACAGACGGGGTCTTAGGCGCCCTTATCAAACACCCAAACAGTAACTACTAGAGCGGTAAGCTTGTCCAAATATATAAGTACAAAAACAAATAGATACAATACAAATAATCAGATCTTCACTTTAAGGAGGTTATTAGTAGAATATACAGGAGGTTATTAGTAGAATACAGTAAAAAAACATTAAAATCACTACAGACATTAAAATCACTATGAAATCCTGTGTAGTCTGCAACCAAACAAACAAGCGGGCTTCCACATGGATTGCATGCAGCTTTTGTGGTAATTGGGCCCACTTCCCATGTACAGATATCCAAAAATTATCTACAAGAGGTATTAAATCAAGGAAGTGTTTTTGGGTATGCCCAAATGAGATCACTCTGTGGAATTAAATCAAATTGGTATTAAAAGAGGATAACATCAAAGTGGCCTTCATGGAAAACCTGAAAGCATTCTAAAAGAGATGGGAAAATAAAAAATCTGGGCTGGATGGTGCTATCGCACTTAGTGCAGATGCTGTCCTGGTAGAGAGTAACTGAAAGCATGGAGAAATGAATATTAGTGGCCTGGAGGGAGACAGGAGCTGTAGTGGGGAAACAGGTAAAGTCAAGGAAAAGATAAAACCAATATTACAAACTAGCAATACCACAGGAGATAGCAAATAAGGAGATTCCAATAGAAATAGTGAAGATAAATTACCAGGAAAAAACTAGGGAAAGCTCCATTGTTAGTACTAGTGAAGATAGAAATGAGACAGGAAAATACGCACCAGCAGGAAATGCAGCGACAAAAATCCAAGGCAAACAGAAACCAGGCATATGCAAATATTATGCACTTGGTATCTGCAGGCATGGAATATCTAAAAAAACAGGCGGAACGTGCAACTTTGATCACCCTAGAAAATGCCGTGCCCAGATGAGAACAGGAAAATGCAACATCCCTGCCTGTAAGCTTTTTCACCCTGAAATGAGCCACTCTTCAGTTCAGGAAAGACAGTGCTATTACTTATATTGCCAGGCAGACCATCTAAAGGAGACCATGGGAAAACCTGGGTAGCCACGGCCAGTCAAAAGAAAGAGGTTTTTTAGTGCCAGGAAGGGAAAAAAAAAACTGGCAGGAAATGGCAGAAATCGTGCACCAAATCCAATCATTTCTGGAGTGGAATCACAGTCGATGGTCTCCACTCCAAACCAACAGATACAGATATTAGTACCAGGTAAAAAAGACACCCCCTCAGTACCACCAATACCACCAGTCCGATGACTTTCTTCTTTGCAAATATACAGGGTCTAAAGCCGGCAACAAACAACAAAATACCTTTCATCCGTGGACTGCTTACAGAGTCAAATGCAATGTTCGCAGCCTTCACAGAAGCCCACATAAAGGATCACTTGGACAACGAAATATGGATCCCTGGTAACAACCAATACATATGTGACAGAGTGAACAGGCAGAGTCACTTTTTGCTCAGAACTGCTAAATGCCTCAAATGATGTAGTTGAAGTTTTAGCAGTAAAGATCGAGAACCAAAATCTAGTCATTTTTGTAGTCTACAAGCCTCTGGATGCAACGTCCCAACAATTCCAGGAACAGCTGTTGAAAATTGACCATTGTCTGGAAAGTCTTCCATCTCCTGCCCCAAACATCTTGCTCCTTGGGGATTTCACCTTAAGGCACCTAAAATGGAGGAATATAGCAAATAATGTTGTTGCAGAGATAACACCAGGAGGCAGCTCAGGTGAAGACTCACTCACACACGAGCTTTTAAATCTCTGCACAAAATTCACCTTAAACCAGCAAATAATAGAGCCTACTAGATTGGAGAATACACTGGACCACATTTTCACTAAAAATGATGATCTGATACGAAATATCACCAGTAGGACTATCACCATAGTCCTACTGTCTTCAAGTTATGTCCTAGAATTTGTATTGATAAAGCCACTGGATGGCGAAACGTCTACAATAAAGATACCCAGATGTTGCACATGTGTCTTAATTTTTATTTATATCAAAAACAGTATACTCAGATCACAACATAATAGAGGTTCAGACATGTATACGCGGAGCCCCAGACCGACAAAATGTGATCAGTCACGAGGGAGCCTTCACCAAATTCAACCTCAATAAAAAGAACATAATGTGGGACCAAGTAAACCAGACCCTAAATGATATAAGCTGAGAAAGTAGCCTAAGCAGCACAGACCCTAACTTATGCCTAGAACAGATTAACTCTGTGGCACTCGATGTATGCTCAAGGCATATTCCATTAAGAAAAGAGAGGAGTAGATGTAAAATACAAGGAGACAGGTGTTCCCTTTACAGGCGAAGGCAAAGAATAATATAGCGACTAAAAGAGGCCACTATATTTGCAATACGTAGGGAGACACTGGTCAGAGAAATAGCAAACATCGAACTAAAGCTAAAGGAATCCTATAGGAATCAAGAATTGAGGGAAGAACTAAAAGCCATAAATGAAATCGAAATAAACCCAAAGTGTTTCTTTTCTTATGTCAAATCAAAGTCGAGAACAACATCCAGTATTGGGCCCCTACTTAAAGAAGATGGGTCCTACACAGATGACAGCAAGGAAATGAGTGAGCTACTCAAGTCCCAATATGACTCGGTTTTTAGCAAGCCGCTAACCAGACTGAGAGTCGAAGATCTAAATGAATTTTTTATGAGAGAGCCACAGAATTTGGCAAACACAAACCTATCTGACGTTATCCTACCGCCAAATAACTTCGAACAGGCGATAAATGACATGCCCATGCACTTTGCCCCAGGGCCAGCCTCATGGAACTCTGTGTTCATCAAGAACTGCAAGAAGCCCCTATCACGTGCTTTTAACATCCTATGGAGAGGGAGCATGGACACTGGGGTCGTCGCACAGTTACTAAAATCAACAGACATAGCCCCACTCCACAAAGGGGGCAGTAAAGCAATAGCAAAGAACTACAGACCGATAGCACTAACATCCCATATCATAAAAATCTTTGAGAGGGTCCTAAGAAAAAAGATCGTCACCCATCAAGATACCCATCAATTACACAACCCAGGGCAACATGGGTTTAAAGCAGGTCGCTCCTGTCTTTCCCAACTACTGGATCACTATGACAAGATCCTGGATGCACTAGAAGACAAACAGAATGCAGATATAATATACACAGACTTTGCAAATGCCTTCGACAAGTGTGACCATGGTGTAACAGCGCACAAAATGTGTGCTAATGGAATAACAGGAAAAGTTGGTAGATGGATCTATAATTTCCTGACAAATGGAAGACAAAGAGTAGCAGCAGTAGTAGTAGTCGGACATAAGCCAGAGTGCCGTTTCTTTCTTTGCAGATGATACCCGAATCTTCATGACAGTGTCTTGCATTGCAGACACTGCAAAGCTCCAGGCGGACATCAACCAAATCTTTCAGTGGGCTGCAGAAAACAATATGAAGTTGAACGATCAGAAATTTCAATTACTCCGATATGTTGAACGTGAGGAAATTAAAACTTCATCGGAGTATAAAACAAATTCCAACCACACAATAGAGCGAAAAACTAACGTCAAAGACTGAGTGTGATCATGTCGGAGGATCTCACCTTCAAGGACCATAACACATGTGTAGTCCCACACCACCTGCTTACCGTCTGTCCAGGCTTGAAGTGTGATACCATCTGGACACTTCTGGCTGCCATCAGA